TGCGGGGGGGGGGGGGGGGGGGGGGGGGGGGAATTTAAGAACTGAAGTGAGAGTGATCCCTCAGCCCATCCAGATCCACTCCTGCTACTCAAAACCGGCTTGTTTGCAAGCAGAACAACAGGTACAGGTCTGCCCACTGCTGGTCGGGGTTTTTGCCACAGATTTTTGACCAACAAGCAGCTGCCTGACTAAACCACTTCTTTTGTTTTGTTTTTCTAGTTAGTTTGGGGAAATCTATTCTCCATGAGATGTCTGGAAACTGAAAACATTAATTTGTTTAGAACAGGTTCAAAAAATTTTTCATCAAAAAAAACCCTAGGAAAAGTAGATTTAGAAAAAACAGGTAAAGCTTTTCTATGCCTTTTCACTCAGAAGAAAGCGGGAAACTAACACTCAAAAGTAACAAAAATGAAGTAGATGATAATAAAAAAAATTAATATTGTACTTCTGTAATATATTGCTGGTACATTGTAATCTGACAGTCAATGTCACCTACAACACTGAAGACAGCAGTATTATGAAGCAATATGATTACACAAATGCTAAAGGAAAGTTGATTTCTCTAGGCCTTTGCCTCAAAACTGTTAGATACTTAAGCATCCTTTGGGCAAAAAATTGTGAGTCTTTTCAGTTTGATCAGTTAAAAATCAATGACTATGATAAAGATTTTTGCAGCAAACCATCTTCAGATACAACAGCAGACTTGTATTTTTGGTTAAGTTAAACTTGGTTTTTCTAACACATTTCTACTTCAGAAATATCTGTTTAATGTGAAGGTTTTTTCCCTTTTTATTCCCCCCTTAATTCTCTCTGCCATATAGCCCACTTTATAGCTCCTGTATACCTAAATGACTTCTCCAGGCAAAAGAGCAGTAGCAGCACTGCAGACATTCAGTGGTAGCTTGTGCATAACGGACAATATTTTAGCAGTGCCTCCAGCTCAGCTGAAGCCAGGACTGAAACTATAATAGCCCACAGACACAAAAATTGAACATCTCAGCACCTCAGAAGTCTTCATCACCATTCTAGCCTACATAATTTCCCATTTGCCCCCATCAGTATTTTTGCAAGACGTGTAAAGCCATTAGAGAGCTAAATTTTAAGAATGACAATGTTATAGGAACTGCTTTATTTTTAATAGAGTATTGCATTTTACAGTAGACTTATTTTCTTCTAAAAAAATTATTTCAAATATGTTTAAGCTACTCAAGATTTTTTTTTATTTTGGAAAGCATAATTTTTCACACAGGTAGAAGAAAAATCCTATTCTACATATCTATTCTGTCCTGTGATTTCTAGATTTATTACTTCACTGGTCAAGCATTAAAAAACCTAAAACCTATTTAGAGGTATTTTCTCTTCACACAGGCATGGAAAAATTCTTCTATCTCCTGCTATTTAACAATATGTTTATATTATTTTAAATGCTGAATTGCATTAGCAGTTTGGTCACTGCATATTGTACACTAAACTGAAGTATTTTAGTTCTGTTCCCTTTTATGAAAGCTGAAAGAATGAGTTTTGCATTGAACATCTGTATCCAATGAAAAATATATTAGGTGTCAGCTTTCAATTCACTGTATTTTATGGCTCCAAAAGGTGGCATTTCTTTGCTAAAACAGACACTCTGACATATTTAACAGTTGAAATGTATTGATTCAAATGAGAGTAATGTTCATAGCCTGAGGAAAAAAATGGCTCTGTATATTTGTATGGAAAAAACATTAAACTCCATTAAAAATGTATAACTCCCCCTATAATTACAAGAAAGCAGTTGCAATGTTTTTATAGAATGGAAATAACATTAAGCATAATAAAAAAACAACACTAAAAGTATGAAAACAAAAAAAAACCAAACCAGGAATATGAAGGCTTTCTCAAACCTCACAAGCACTGCTTACCCTCTCTTCTACCGCAATCACCAGATGCCCCTTAAAAAGACAAACTGTTATACCTGAACACCAACCACTTGGAAACTGTGGGCTGCTATCTCTAAGGCCACCCAGTCCTGGGGGTCCTAATGCAATTAGACTGGGAGGTCTATGAAAGAATAACTAAAAAGAGCCCATGCCTGGGGTGTGTGCCCAAGAGGTTGAAGATAAAGCATTCCCTGCGGGCCGTCTCAGACAACCAGAGCCTTCCGAAGAAGGCAGAGGGACTCAAAGACTAGAACAAAGTACCAAAATCTAGACGGTTCCTCTATTATTGCTCCAAGTTCTTCCACACTTAGTTCAATAACTACAACGCAAGACACCGACTCCGGCCTCAGAACTAGCTGATCGGCTATTTTAATTGTACGCTTCTGTGGTAACACAAAACTACTAGTTTACAAAAAGAAACATTTGACTCGGGTGAATCTCCGAAACACATCAGTAGGAGAATGAGCTTCTACAATACTGAAGCACCAGTGGAACAACTCCTCCTGACCCCCTCAAATTGTGTGACATTTAAACCCAAGATAACAAAATGCAATAAAAATAAAGAAAACGAAGGCCAACGATTTTATGCACATGCAAAACTGGCTCTTTTCTGACAAGACTACTCTGTTTCCGACAACAGCTAACAGCAAGAAAAATAGTTTTGATAGCATTGAGACATTATCACTTACTTGAAATGGGACCTATAGACAATCCCAAAGGCATGTTGATACTAGAAAATTCTAAAGCCACTCAACTAAGTAAGAAACTGCATCAGTGCCAGCAGAATCACTAGAAGTATCAGTATCATGAATGTCTTCATATTCAGGTATTTAAAACCTGTGTTTCCCACTGGCTTGAGCTGAACACACTGATGTTAAAAATAAAGGTACTGCTACAGAATCTTCTTAAGACAGCAAGGTGAGCCAGAACACTGAGCTGAAACAGGTTTTGCTTTAATTCAGAATCAAAGAAAGACCATTTTCTTGTAGAAGACTTCCTATCCTTCATCCCCCAAACTTTACACCTCCTTCAACACACCTTTAAATTCCAAGCCTGGTCTTCAACAAAATGCCTGTCCTAACATCCTCAACTCTCTGTTCCTTTTCTCCAAGCCTACTTCACTTTTGCACCGAAGCAACTTCTACATGCCCTATACAACATTCAACATTTACATGTCCAATTCCTCACCATCTTACCTTCTCCAACTCCTTACCCATGAGCTTCTGAAGCCCAGAAAGTTCTGTTAGGAAGAGGCCTCAGCACTGAAACCTTGGAGCCCAGACAAATGCCCAAGGCACATGTCACAGGTCTATTCTGTGGTCCCATGTGCTAAATGAAGCTGGATGGAATAAGCAACAATATAACCCTTTGCAGCTGGTAAATGGGGTCTGGGAATGGGAAAAAAGATCAGAGCTCTACACAATAGCCAAAGGGGAAACAGAGGAACCATCCCTCTGTACCTGCCCTACACTACAGACTGGTGATGAGGCCCAGTCCTCCTGATGTCAGCCCTTTTGCTTCCGCAGACACACAAGAGACAACCAGACAGCATTGGAGAGTACAGCAGCCAAGCAAACCCTACTTGCTTTCAAGTTGCTATTTTGCCTCTGCTAGAAGACTATTATGGCCCAACTGTGCCAATTCCCATGTGAAGCTTGCTCGAGGTGGAACAGAAGTTTTCAGTATCCACAAGAGCATTCCATTAAAGTAAGCATATACATAATCTACCAAATTTGGAGTGTGTCAGCAGTGAAAGCGTTGTCGAGTACTTCATTGGCTCTATACATAATAAAAACAAGGCTGAGAGATGATCATTATTTGCAAGACAGTTGGGTCAGCACATCTCCTTAACTTTGGTACTGCAAAGATCTCTGGACTGAGCCACCACAGCTCAGCAGAGGGAAGCGAGGGTAAGAGACACAACATCCATAGCTCCAATCTTCCTCTCCAGCATGCGAACACCAAGCCCCGCAATGCTGACATGTCCCACTTTGAGAATGCTATAACGTACAATATTGTACGAGTTAATCCCATCCAACACATCGATTTTATCTGCAATGTCCTTTTTCCAGCCCCCAGAATACAGGCAGCTAAAATCTATTAGGCAATGGAGCTGTAATGACAAACTGTCCTCTCAGAAGCTCTGAGTTTCTCTGACGTGGTTCCAAAAATAATTAGCAAAATGTGTACAAAAGTACTAGTGATTACTAAAAGAGCCTCCACTACAATGTCCATGCTAAATCGGAATAAAATGTCCAAAGTCTCAGGGTTAAAAATTCTTACAGCATCGTTTTCCAGCTGCACCACCTATGCCAGTCTTCCCATTTATCACTTGGGTAAGGTCAAATTCTAGCTATGCCTAATTTCCATCTAATGTCAAACCCCTTCATTCATATTATGAAGAGCAATATCCTTCCAATGTTTTCCAGTTTGTAATTTCAAACCCATACCAGGCTTTGCTGCTGCAAAACTGTCACCATTTTAACTTCCAGTAACACAAGTATGTAGGACATATTTGCCTCTCCACAAAAATTTCCAAAAACACCATCAGCTGATCAAATAGTTGATCAAACTATTCTTGCCTAAAATATTTTCTAATTTTTTTTAAATCTACATTTAGTTGAAAAGATTATGTGTCCTTGTTGAATCATAGCACAAATGAACAAAATACAGATAAAACAAAACACGAACCAACATGGCAAAAATCGAAATGCATATTAATTTTCTTTATAAATTCAGAAAGCCTATTACATTAAAACTGGCATAAAGACACTTACAATGAGGCCACACAAGTTATAGCATAGAGCAAACTAGGGTGTGAATACACAGAGTGTTATCTGCACATCCATGCACATGAAAATCTACTAACCATTAATGCAAAGTACATTATTTCTCCCATGAAGGGAAAAAAACCCACAACAAAACAAACAAAAGAGTCTTGCATATCCTTTTATCCTTTTGAATGCTGAAATGTGAGAGTACAAACAGGTTTTTACAAGGTAACAGCATGCTATAAATTCATACCTATTTTATCTTACAGTAACATACTCATGCATTCTTCCTCTCATTAAATTTAACCTAAATTACACAGTAATTAAACCAAATATGAATTCTGAGTTAATATATTTATATGAATATTAATTACTTTAATTCAGTTACACTTAATTTATTTTGAATGCAAATTTTAACTTAATTGAATTATTAATTTGAATAACAATGTCTACACAGGAATTCAAAGCAGTTTAACAAGTCACTATAATTTCAGTTCTTGAGGACGAACTCTGAGAAGAGAAGAGGTTGGTGTGAGAAGGTGTGGGGGAACACATTAAGCAAGTGAACTGTGTATCCTGCTTAATTAAAAGAAGGTTGCGCCCATTTAGTTCTGCAGTGCAGAATTTGGTGTCCATATGAAAAAATCAGATTTTTAATTATAGTTGGCATTTCAGAACCTCCCGCTGGTTGCTACTTTCTCGCTAAAAAACTGACCTCATTCCTAAACTTGTCACTGTGAGAACTCTGTTATGAACTGCAAACAAGCTTCTATTTGTTTTAGAGTGGCTCACTAAAACTTCATTGTTTAAAACATTTAAACAATATATTAAATCCTTAATGGAATGTGCTGCTTCTAATTCAAAAAACAGTCTTTTGGATTGCTATCTTGTGGTAATTGGAACGAGAAGTCAGGATTTCTGGATTTTGTTCTGGCATCGCCTAAACAATTTTATATTCAAAACTCATTAATTTAAATGGAAGTACCACACAAAGATGTAATTTAAAACAAGTGCCACTTTTGCAGTTGTGGATTCACAACTATTCCAACTCTAAAATGGTTACCGCCTACCTGCAAAATACTGTGTTCCTGCATTCTACTGACATTGCACTTATTGACTACACCTCTCCTAACACAGTGATACTTCCCTTCCTCTTAAAAAACAAGGAAATACAGCAAGCTAGAATATGCAGATGAAAGGCACTAGATATACTCTATTATTGTGTGATATCACTGAGTTGGTTCAGCTACCGCATTTGCCAAGATAAGACACTGCCTATGTCTCACCAGAACAGGCTTCCAGAAAAAAAGCCCCCAAACCCCCAAAACCACACACACCAAATTTAAAAACGCTCATCCAAATTTTCCTCCAAAAAACCATCAACGAAGGTTTCATGTAAACATCACCTCCTCTGAAATATTTTCTCCTTTTTGTTTAATGAGAAGAAAGGCTGGCATGTTTCCCTTCGGATGAGGTACTGCGTAAGTCACGTACGTCTTTGATAGAATCCTTTGGACTTACAGAGATCACACAAAAGCCATTTTCCCCTGAATGTTCTCAACAAACAACATACTATTTCCTGGCTCATAGTTACTAAATTCCACCTTCTTGAATGAGTCGTATATCCCAAAGAACTGTCTCTCTCCTTCCTGCCAGGGACATACTCTCATTTGCTCCTCTTCATGTGTACCTGATTTTTCTTTTGGCTTTTGGTATGCATCCTCTTTCCTCAACAACATGTTTTGGCTTCACACACCGAGACATACAGCTGCAACCAGTAAATCCCCAGGTCCCAGCTGCAGCCACTAGCTCAGACTCCTCTATGCACAAGCTCCCACAACTCTTAGCATGAACTGCCTTGGGTGGCAGTTCTCAATCACTGGACTGCTTGGTCAGCAAAGAACTGTTTAATGGCTCCTTCCATTCAAGACAGTACACCCATACTCTTTAGGGGCCCTACCAATAAAAATGGAAAACATAGGCGATGGCAGTAATTAGCACCATTCAGCTTAATGGTATTAATACAGAAAACACAAGCAAAAGAACATTTAAAAGAAAATGTGAGGAAAAATAAGCATGAAATGAATAATAAAGTTCAATTATGCTACTCACAGAAACACTGTGGAGGCAAATTACTTATTAGCTTTTCTGACTTTGCTAACAGTTGCACTGTGTGTGGCGGTAGCTACCTAATCATAACCACCTTTATTTCTGAAACGCAAAGAAGCCTGAAGGACCGAATTCCCAGCTAACAGCGTATAGAGTTCTTTTACTGCCCAGTATCTGCATTCCATCTTATTGTATCTTACCCAGTAGGTTTGTGAGCCACAGGGCCAAATCCTCTTTCATCGGCAACAAGTTGGCCTCATGTCTACTTGCAAGCCACTGACTGTATTGATGCATATCAGAGAGGCCAGGGCCACGTGCCTTCGGGCTCAGAGCAGTGCACATTGCTTATCCACTTGTTGTACCTGTTTTATTATATATATAAAAAAAAATTAAAAATTACTTCATTATACCAAATCTAGTTTCACAGGTTCTCTTTTTAGAATTGTAGAAGACAGTAACTATGATTCTAAGAAATCAGATGTCAGACAAACAGATGTGGATCCAACACACGAATACAACGTCAGTGACTGAAGGTTTGTTTTGTTAATGGATCACATTGCAAGTGATTAAATCATACAGATAAATGTCAACTTCATTTGTACTCACCAAGCTACACATGTTGCCAACACATAACCAAATATTCTGCAAGGAATGATTAAAATCAAATCAAAATAAACATTTTACACAAAGCTAAGAACTCACTACAGTGCCTGATCCAATACCCATTCAAAATAAATGGAAAGCTTCAAGGATTTTTGGATCAGGCCCAAGAAAAGCACGGGAACAACTGAGTTACGCTACTACAGCAAACTTACTAACAATTAACAAATGCTGTTACCAAAAGGAATCAGTCTATTCTACAGCTTCAGAATAATTAAAGAAAAAACCCACACCAAATACATTTACTGAATAGTGTTATTTCTTCAGAAAGCAGCACAACAGCTAGTGCTGGTCACCCACACTTCCCACTTCCACCTTTTCTACAAATACTCCTCTGCTTCAGTGACAACACACTGAAACTTTAGTTGCAGGTAAGACCATACGTCATGTGTTAAATATTCGTTAAGTGTTGTGAGTCTTGCAGCAGCCAGAGACGTTAGGCCCACCGGACCTATATCTCTGCTCCTGAAGGACTAATTCCCCCATCTGTGGCAGAAGCATGCTAAGGAAAGAAGGTTATTTTTCTCTCTGAAAAGAAACTCAGACCTGGACCCTAATGCTCGCAGCAAGGAGCTGAGATACTTTCTTTCCTGGTAGGCTGTAGCCTGCTGAAAGCCCAGTCACGCCAACTAGCAGTCACGGGGTCTTACATAGGCGGCACTAGACAGACGTTAACTGGAGGTGGGAGGTCCGTAAGGAATAGTTCTTTGCCTATTGTCAACTGGGTGATCCACACCACCTGCGGTTGCACGAGCCAACTGGCTTCAGCTTATGATACTCCGCAAATACTGCTCCTTTCTGTCCTCTGCATACCTTTCAAGTCAGGTAAGAGGTAGTTGTGGCTTTAAAAACAACAACACAAAAGAACAATTTGTTATACTATTCCACTGTGGCCTGGAATAACAAGAATACTGAAAACAATTCCTTTGCCAAAAAAAGGAAAATGTCTACTGAATGTAAAAAGCAATTGCCTTTCCATAAAATTGTGCTGTAACTGACATTTCTAAAGATATTAAATGCTATTTGGGATATTTTAATGCTTACATTAAAACAAGAGCGCGTATTTTAACCATAGCCTGAGTAACTAAACTCCTTGTTCGCAAAAACATCTGCTTAAGCTCTTGTTGAGAGTACCTCACCCCAAATCCTGAAGTCTGGTTTGCCCTTGAGATAGATACTGTAGCTTTCACTACAAATGTACTCCTTACTGAAATTAGACAATTTTTTCAGTTGGGGAGGTGGGAAAATAAACATAAAAAAGACTTTATTCCCTTGTACATTTCTGAATTATAAGTAAATTTTACATTTTTCTAACAGCAACAACAAAAATCCTTATATATCAAAGTTCCTTTGAAAGCAGAGGAGTTTAAGGCAGACTGAAGTATGTAATTTAAGCACAGCTCTGTTCTGAAAACGGACTTTGTAAAAATGTCAGCTTGGATTTATGGTTTCCTGGTTGATTAAATCCAAATCATACCTGTTCATTTGGGGCGGGGTGCGAGGGAGTGGAGGGAGAAGAATTAGGCTGTTAACTCTGCAAAAATCAGTCTGGAATGTCACTCTCAAAATAGATTCCTTTGGACTAGATGATACTAACAGCTAAGGAATTACAATGACAGTATATTTTAAGTTGCTCTAAGTCACTCAGAACCATGCAATTTAGTTCTTCAAATCACCGCTTCATTTTGGATGGAAGCAGAGGCAAGATGGGTAATTGATACCCCCTTGTCTTCAAAGACTATATGGGAAAAGTCAAGTATAAATACCTTTGTCATATACTTTCTTTCCAGAAAAAAAGCCTTTATATATATATAATTTTTTTTTTTTTTTACTGATTTCTGGAGTCTATAAACCCCATTGATATGGTGAGAACCAGAACTAAAACTAGTTTATTCTCTTGAACCACCTCTGAAATGATATCGGTAAAAAGTAATTAAAAAAAGTCTCATTCCTGAATGTTCACTTCATATATAATACACAAGTAAAACAAAGTAAAAATACATCACTTTTTTGCATCAATTTTTCAGTTTATTAACACCTATATATCTAAATGTTTAGGAAACAAGATCCTGCAGTTTGCTTCGACATACAGATTGGAAAAATATACCTGAAAAAAGCAGCACAATTATACTAAAGGAACCAGTTAGACACCGCACCTCTTCACCGGAAATAATTTCACTGTTCATACATGCTTTAAGGAGGGGGTTAGACTAGATGACCCCTGGAGGTCCCTTCCAACTTAAATTATTCTGTAATTTTATATTTCAAGGCTGCACACAGCAATATTCATCATGGGACCCTAAGCAGGGTCTGCCCTGTTAGGAGTACAACTCATGGCACACACACTGAGCTGGGTCGCGTTAAGAGGAAAACTACAGCGACAACATCCTTTTCCTTCACCTCCAGAAGGGTCCACCTACCTTGTGACTTCCAAGACCATGCTTATGAAGTGCCCTATGAAACCTGGAGCTAATTAATAATCAAAAGCATTATAATATGCCTCACAGACAGCCAGATAGGATACACGCTGCTGCCACTGGTGGGGCTGAAGTAATTCTAAGGTCTGAAAGTTGCATTTCTGTAAGACTAGACAAAAGAGAGGGAAGACTTCTGGAGCAGCTACACGGAGGCAGTTTGGGTTGCCCCATCAGTCTGTGAAACAAGCACAGCAGTCTGTTTACGCTTCAGCCTGATCTCTGTGGAGACGCAGAGCAGAGAATTCAGGGATTTGAGATGTTACTTCAGTTTGTCTCTAAAATACAGGGCTGTCTTTAAATATACTTCATACTGACCTACCTCTTGTTTCACAAAACTCAGCAACCAGGCTGGGTAAAGGTCTCAGGGAACTTTTGAGACTCGCTGAAGGAAGAAAAGTAGGAGAACAAAGAGCTCTGATTTTGGAGGATGCATGGGTGCTTCAGTTTCGTACTAACTGTGGTAGTAAGAAGAGAGAAGATCCAGAGACAAGAAGGGTATTCTGAGTTTAAGGTAGTTTCAACAGGACACAGGTTCTCAGAATGGGAAACTGGGAAAGATGAGGAAGGCAGATAGACAGGTGACAAAAAATCTCTAGAAGCTAAAAATGATTCAGGCATCTCCATACTGGGACCAGGTCTGCTTGAAATAGTAGTCCTGAATTAACAATAATTTATGGGTTAATTTGTGAAGCAGGCATGCAAAGTGAGGACTGTGGAATGAGAAAGTTAATACTGATGAAGAGTCTCCACTGAGAAGAACCCTGACGAATCACATACAATCCAACCTTACCTTTGTATAAGTTTTCTTTAATTTCATTTTTGAAAGAAATTAATTTTCCTCTTCCCCACTACTTCTCTGAAAACCTGCCCTACATTTCAGTAAAATACTTTGTCAGGCTCAAAGCAACAAAATTCCTACCTTGGATTTTTGAAATTTAAAAAAAATTTAAAAATCAGTCCTCAAGAAGCAGAGCACAATTTGTTACCTGTACCTCCTGTCACAAATTCTGCAAGTGATATTGTGGGTCAGTTATCAAAATGCAAGCATCAGAAGCTATCAAAATCTTAATTATTCTTTATGCAAACACTGACTGCTGCTGAACTTCTAAGTTTAACTTAAGCCTCCACGATACTTCAGTGCTGAAGTACCTAAGCTTCATTAAAGTGTTCACCTACTTCATCAACTGTAATAGCCCATACATTAACTATTAAGACTTCAGCACATACTAGCTGGGATCTGTGAAGAAGCTGAACCGAGTTAGTTAGGTGAAGGTGACAGCAGCTAGGTCCTGAGCTCCTTCAAGACCCTTTTGAAGATTCTACCTGTAGTAAAGGCCAGGCTCTTGATTCTTCTCTCAGATACTATCAACTCACCTCCTTAAAGTGTCTTAACATACTTATTTTCTGGTGAGCTGGAGAAAAGTTTATTGACAATTTAGCAGTGAGGAATTTGGTCAAAGAAATGGACTAACTTGCCACAGAAGGAGCCAGCAGCGTTCAAGGATACTTCACCACAGCTCAGGCAAGCCTCTTTGGCTCCAACAACTATTTCATCCTTTCCTTTTGGCAGACATGAGGTATGAACAAAGTAGCCAAAAAAATATTGGTTTTCCTAATCTCACTACTTTCTAACAGCAACATCAAATCATCATATATACAGCTCTTTAAAACTAGCCAACATAAACACATCAAATATTTTGTAGAATGTTATGCTTCTCTATAAACTGTTGAGGCTGATGTGATATGCAGAAGCATTTTCAAAACTTACCTCTAAATGCTTTGTTCCTCAAAAAGCAACTTCTTCCCCCTACTATTCTGAATGCAGACAAGGAAAGGTCTTTAACTACTTTTCATTCTGTCTTGTTAGAGGTCATATTTATGCAGCACAGCCTTTTTTTCCACCTCTCTCAATAAGAGGACGACATCTCAAATTCTTAGACTTATTGTCTAGCTGAAGAATTCAGTGTGGGATAGTTTACAGCACACCCAGTGACATGTAACAGATTCAACACACTAAAAGGTTATATTTCTCTCTGCTTGCTTCTACCAAACAGTGAAGTTTTTATTTTGCTTTACAGTAGTACATTTAGTTTTCTGTGTATTGTAGCTCACCACTTGTATTTTGCCAGCAGGGTAACTTACGCTATCTGCTGATTGTTGTCAGTGATCATAAGGTGAAAGCAATGAGAATCAAACAAGTAATCT